ATAGGTACGTATGATGTACGATCCTCGCAGTAGAGAGCGCCATTTATGCAATAGCGAAAATCAGACCTGAAAAAAATCAGGCCTGTACGGGATTCGAACCACTGACCTCTGCGATACTAGTGCAGCCCTCTACCAATTGAGCTAACAACTGGGAGCAGGCCGTTAAGCTGATTCGTAATAAACCCGTGATGATTAATCACGGATTTATAACTTTAACGTGTTCCGTATTGATCAGTTATGCCATGCAAGAATTCTTCTCTTAAGCATATTTCGCTTCCTGCACTTTTCATTTCCCTCACTTTTCTTTTCTTCACTTTTCTTTTCTTCACTTTTCTTTTCTTCACTTTTCTTTTCTTCACTTTTCTTTTCTTCACTTTTCTTTCCCAAACTATTAGAAATGATCCCACAATTTTGAGAAAATTAACTTATCCACGACTGATCATATTCACTACCCGAATAAAAATTTAAAACGCGCCTCGGTCGACAAGTGACCAAAGTCAGAATAACCCGAAATGAAATATTTGAATGTGAGCTAAAAAAATCTGGGTTGAGTTAATGATGTCGAGCCTTACAAGTAGAACTTTTGGGATAAATCTCGTCTTTTTCAAGAATTCCCATTGCATTACCATAGAAATAAAAATTTTACTTGGAAAATTATAAAGAAAAAAAGCGTAACGAAGCGCAGAAGGAGCAGTAAAGAAAAATTGTTGTGATTCATTTGTTATTCTTTTTCCCCCTGAGAAGTTCATTTCGACTTCGTGTATCCATCCCAGTTTCCCTGTTCACTTCCAAATTGAAAATGAGTTATTGATCAGAGAACCAATAAGTGAGTAATGATAACATTCTGGGAGCGAAACTTTCTTCCGGTTCAGAAAATCATGAGTGTGCCCTTTTCCCCGAAAAACCTTGCAGTTCCTCTTTTTCCGGGAAATCCCCTCCTACATCTTTGCTTCCTTTTTTCCTAACCTCTGAGAGCCCGCGGACCCCATCTTAAATCTTACCATTGCTGTTAATTGTGACCGTGACACTCCCGTTCGTGACGATGGATGTCACGCCATCCAAAGAGGTCATGGAAATAGTGAAGATCTCATTGTCTTCTGTCCAGTCATCTTTCAGGATAGAGACTTCAATACTGTAATGAATCTCTCCTGGTTTGAATATGAATTCCTTGGATTGGAAGGAAAAATCTTTGTCTATTACAGCTGAGTCACTTGTAGCACTGAACCTGGTACAATGACACGACACAGAGATGTAGCAAATTAAAATGAGCAATCTGATTAGTGGGTTTGGCACGTTGATATGATAATTAATACAATGAATGAATACTACATGCCTTGATTGTGATTGGTCAATGCCTAAGGTCGATCAGCTGAGTTCATTCATTGGAAAATTTTGAAACGACGCCATTTTCTCTAGCGATCGTACTTTCTAAATTTCTAAATTTTGGCTTAATCTGTTTATGGTGGGCAATTAAAAAGGGTGATCGTAATTCTAAAACACTGAAACTAAGGCAAAACAATAGTTAGGCATAGTGTCAATTACTGTGCTGAGACTGAAGGGTGAAACTAAACTATGACATCAGAGGGAATACATTTAGTTTCATAGTCCATTTTACAGTTGTGTGCTTGGTTGCCAAGCTTTTGAATGGGAGTGAGGCTAGAGATGACCTTGTTATGATACAAACCTTGCAGCCTTTCAAATGTAAATCACTTTGTTATCATGCTAAGTAGATACAGGTCTCTATCACAACAAGGTCATCTTTAGCCTCACTCTGAATCAAAGGCTTGGCAACTAAGTACACGACTGTAAAATGGCCTATTCCCAAGCTCTAAGTGTAATATCTATGAGCGCAATTCTCCTGCATCCGATTACTACTTTTTTCAATGAATGGTTGTGAATTTTATTTCTTTTTCCTGACCTTACAGCCGAAGCAAGTTCCGCATTTCCGGTTCTCATGCCCATCAGATTAATGCTCCCGGCATCTTCCTGTACGCTCACTGCAGTGATGGTAAAACTTGCTTCAACTTGAACAGTTTTCAGCGCTATTAAAAGAGAAAACCTCTGGCTCGGTGTCTTTTTTTAAAAACCAGCTCAGTGTTTAATTATGTAATTCTGGATAATAGCATTTTAAGGCCGAGTGAGGAAACCACAGTACCAGAGATTTTATATAATTAATTGAGTAACAGGATGGCCATTATGCGCATGCGCTCAACTGATATTTAGGGGAAGGAAAGAGAGAGAGAGAAGTAGTGGTGAAAGAAGTGGAGAGCGATTATACCAAGGGTGGGTACTTACTGCGAAGGAATTTTTAGAAGACTGAACCCGAAGGTTGGTATAAGGGCGAGGCGTGAATTAATTTTTGTCTTTTTGGCCAAAATTAATTTGTGAAATTATTGAACGGAATTTGTTCCACATTGGGTCAGAATTAGACTGTCATGGTGGCCACCCCAGCCCAGACCTCCCTTTGGCGCCCCTCCCGGAGACAAAAGGTTAGGGGTGGAACATCTTAACCTTTCCCTTCCCCCCTCAGTAGAGACTTTGCATATAGGGATGGAAGAAAAAGGAAAAGAAAAGGAGAAATAAGAAGTGAAGGAAATACCTTGACTGAAGGTTGCCTCAGAGAGTTCCATCGCCTCTGTACTGCTTAGCACGCCTCTGAAGACTTGGAACCAGCTGATTGAAAACTTTACCTTAGATTCATCATAGCCAATGGAATACTCATAAGGGGTGGGGTTTGGAGGTTGGGCAGCTATCGGTGATTCGTAAATATCGACAGCCATTTTTGTCCCGTTAACATATACTTGTGTTTCATTTTGGTTGGAGCCGGTATACATAATGCTTACATGAAACCATTCAGTCTTTTTTGCCATTTGGTTGACACGCGCAGATTCCGTTACCAAATCATGATGTCCAACAGCGGCATGAAAAGATATCTCGTCCCCCGTCTGTATCAATCTTAACTCAACGGGATTGCTGTTTTCTCGCTTCTGTCGCCTGGGGGATGAAACGAAAATACGAACAGAAACAGCCTCTGGCAACGGCAAAGTATCGATTCTATACAGAAAAGATATTGTAAAGGCTGGCAAAGCAGTCATGTTGCCAAGGGTATCGGCTAGAGTTCCGAGAACGATTTTATGTGTTTTATTTGAGCCGGAGCCGAGGGCAACGCTATGAATCCCTTCGTCTCTCTGCTCCAGGACTTCTCCGATGATGCTTTTAGGAAGGAAAGAAGTGTTAGCGGCGGGGTTATATCCATAGAGCTGATTGTTCCATTTGGGGTATAGGTACCAAATGAATTCTGTAAATTGTAGATAAAATGAAAATTGATTAGACTGAAGTTGAGCAGTTATATATTGATCAAGGCTGGTAGCTTTTTGTCATGTCTTATAGGCCTGCTTGCCGAATCTTTTCACAATACGTTTCAGCATCAATCAACTGTCAGTATCAACTACATTCGACATTTAAGTTCATTTAATGCAAATTACGGTGAGGAGTCCTAAGTAGTCTGCGCTTGGCGGAGTTATTCCAGACAGACAACCCAACCTGAATAACACTTCTAAATTATCAAACTCAGAATACACTAAAGAAAATATAGAAATAGACGATTAAATGCAGTATATAAATATCTCATATCGCAGCATAATTTGTTACTCCTTTTTAACGGGAATCGAGTCCATCACAGATTTCTTTTAAGGCATCCATCAAATTTCCTTGATAGTTGTCTGGTGAGATCTGGCATCCATTTGTACTTCTGAGTGGAGCATGGGTAGCATTTTAAATGTGAACTGCCTAGCCTGAGCGCGACTAAATAGGGAGCACTCGTCATAATAACGCCCGCTCTTCAGGCTGCTCCGATTAAGAACCCATTTAAAGATGTTTGGACAAACCCTGGCATTAAAATGAGTTTATCATGATTAATAGCATCACTATAGCTAGCCCGTCAAGATTAATCGATAAATTTATCCGTTGCTGTGAGACGAAGACATTGTTTTTTCTCCGCAGGGCATCTATTCCGGTTGTGGTTACAAACACATCTTTTATGTTTTATGTTTCGAAAATCGGAGGATTCTTCCAGAAAGAGCTGTATGATTTTGTGTTGGAACTAATCTGATCAGCTCTCACTTTGCTTTGGGGTAACCGTTCCCCAAAACACAAGATGTAGATAAATTCAGATAACTTTTTAATGACTCGTAGAAGACAATGAAACTGACCCGAATTATAGTGCTTTTTGAAAAGTAATTAATCTTATGCAAGTCTCACCTGAAATCGCGTCTAATTATGCCTTTAACTTCTCAATTTTGTTTTTTTCAAACTTTCCTTTATCATTTTAACAAATTTAAGTTGTATGACCCTCGAACTTTCGAGCAAGTCCTGACAAAATTTTCACGCGAGGGCACGTCAAATTTAAACTGAATTTCGTATCTTCGATTCTCTGGTCCGAGACCAAATATTTGCAATTTTTTATTTGATGTAAGTTTAGGTTAAGCTAAGTATCTTTGGATCGGAAGTAAAACTCTGAATCACTAAACTTTCCTTTCATTCTTCAAAAATACTGTCAACTTGGACGAAAACGTTCGGACAGCCGTTTCAGCTATAAATTATGCTGAAATATGATCATATTCTACACACTGAACAATCGAATTCATGTTTCTAGTAAGTTCTCTGCTAGCCAGTATTCTGAAAATTTTTAATGCCAGTGTTTCTTAATAATCCGCAATAGGACAGTAGCACGAAAATAAATTTCATCCGAAGATAAAGCTCTAAACTATTATCATAACACGTTCACAACTAGAGCACAACTTTCTGTTTCAATGCAGTTTCTGTCGAGATTTCATCGACAAATCCTAGCAACGGACCAAAAGGGCGTTCGAAACTTTAGCCTTTAACGCATAATTGTTGCAATACGAAAAAGTAAAAGAAAAAAACCATTGTTGTATTAGTGAAAGCGAAGATTGAGGTGTAAAGTACGTCCTCCATTCTGCGCTCCAATGAGCGCTTAACTTTAGAGAGTGCGAAGAACTTTAGAGAGTACGAAGAAAACGGCGGTTTAATACAGAAAAGCGTGAGTTAAAGGTTAAGGAAGGCGGAGATTCTATGGGGAAATTAGAAAGATATCTGCAAAATCAAATACTTGGAAAACTGAGAGATCTTTGTACTAAATCGTTTTCATAGGAAAAAACCAAGTCTGTGGTTGTTTTGTTATAGCCCTGCAAGTATATAAATAACATATCGCGACTCACCGGGCCTTGGTACAGAAGCGATTGTCATCGATGATGACACAAGAAAAAAGTAAAAATGAATAGTTGTGGACTTCATCCTTTCCAATCCTTTTACAATTTGTGGTTTTCAAGACTATAGTTTACGACAGTTACAACTCCTGTATTCTTGTTCCATTCATTCTGATTAAGTATGCAAATATTTCTATTATGCATTGCTTACGAGCACGCGAAATTATACAAAAGGAACCACGTTGCGAAAACATGCCTCGATACTTTCTCGAACAATTCAGAAGGCATCTTAGGCCACAATTGTCAACTCGAGTGTAAAATCATCTATGCCCCGATTTAAAACTGAAAACTTAGGATATAAATCAAGTAAGGACTCAATATCAAGTGAGAAAACACACCACTCATATTACTCATGTGGTTTAATTAAAAACATTGTTTATTCATAACAAGGTTAGAAGCCCGTAAGCTAAAAAGAAATAAATAAGCGTGACCTCTTCTTGACTTTCTAAGGGTCTGTTTGTTTTACAACCTCTCTGCAACATTCCTTTCATTTTTCATTCAGTTGTTTTATTTACGACATGGCTGAAGGCGAAAGCTGAACTGTTTGGCTACCCTGGAGGGCATTGAGCTTATTTTGAAAGCCGTTTATAAGTCAAGTGCCTCAATTGCCCGCGGTGGGGAAAGTTTTAGTATGGTAGTTATCACAACAAACGCTTCACGGTAACCTTTATTTATTTCACAAATATTTACCTTATACCGCAATTTTTTCTAACGTACATTTCTTACCAATTAACTCTTAGGCCTTGGTCAAACGGCGCATGATAGTCGATGATAGTTGAAGCGCGCGCTTCCGTTTGACCACCAACTATCATGCACTACCAGCGACTATCACCAATTATCATTCATTTTAAGTTTGTTCAAATTCTTCATGATAGTCGATGATAGTTTTTCTCGTTTGACCACGCGTATGATAGCTCATGATAGTTTTTGGTCAGGTTTTTCCCGAAAATCGGCGGGCTCGTTTAAAATGGCCTCCAAAAGCTCCTCGCGAGGCTCAGCTTCAGCTTCAGAAATTCGTTTTTATACCCAAGATAATAATAATGAGAAAAAAAATATTGAAAACCAAGAATCTGGAGAAAGCGTCAACTCGCAGGAATTCGAAGAGACACCGCCGAAAAAAATGCGTTTCACTAAACGTTCAACGGCGAGATGGAGTAATGACCTGATATTACGTCTAATAGACGAACATGTGGCCCGGCCCTACCTTTGGGACATTTTTTCGAATGATTAACACAACAGAGATGTCACAGGCTGCTCGCGTGACTTTGCTCGCGCGACTGCCGGTGAACCATCATCAACTATCACGAATTTTTATGGCCGTTTGACCATGCGATTGATAGTTGGTGATAGTTGATGATAGTTTGAAGAGAATCAACTATCATCGACTATCATGCGCCGTTTGACCCAGGCTTTATAAGACGAAAAATATACGGACAGTAAACACTTTAACCGGTAAATTGACACTTTCCTTTTTTTCTGCCCAGACCCCTGATATTGGGTAATATTTTCGAAGACATCAGCCGTAGTTCCCCTCGAACTAATCATACATTTAAAACTACAATTTTCCCAAATAGTTACGATAAAAACAACTGTACATTTAATCTTTTTTATTCGTCGACTCAAATGTTGTTGGTCATTCTTTTTAAGTTCGTTATGGTATAAAAAATTCCCTTGGTACCAGAATAATCGGGAGGGAAGCAGACTTCGGATTCCATGTTTTCCTCGCAGTTTTAGGTCTGTGAACCTCACTTCTAAACTTTCGCCATTCTGATCAAACCTCGATCTAACTCGCTGCCTTTCTAGTCGGAGTGCGGAAAAGGTCTGAAAACTTTGGTGGAACGTCCAAATGTATTTTCAAAATTGTCGCAATTTTGACGACAATTAAGGCTACTCGATCCTACCCCCCACAAACCAACCTCCTACCCCTTCCCTTGCTACGTGACATTTACCAAAAGCAGTTACTGTTCTCAAGCTTATATCGCTATCCCTGGGAATTACAGGACGTTGTCCCCCTGCGGTATACCAGCGTCCTCTTACCCGAGGGGTATTTTTAATATTTGGGTGTATGAGGCTAATCAGGGAGAGCCCAGACCCATTTGTTTGAATACAAATCGCTGCAAAAATTTTAAACCATTAAAATAAATACCTGTCTTCATTTCTAACTCCATTTTACCTTCTCAGAAATGCCTGTTGATTCTCGCGCACTCGAATTCGAAACTGTACAATTCATAATTTACTTGCGGGTAATTCCAAATCTCATTCTCGTTCATTTTAAGCTTGGAGCTCTTAACATTCCGTCAAAATTACTTAAGATCCTGCTAGCGTATTTACTATTGTGATACATAAAAAAATGATTATTTAGGTCCATAAAATACAAACTGTGAACCGTCCAAGTCACTAATGTTTCCAGAAATTTCTACACTACAAACTATCCAATAGGAGCTGCTCCTCACGAAAGGCGAATCTTGAATAATTCAGTTTGTATTTATTAAGTTCATTGTTCGTGCGAATCTTCTCCATCTTTAGCCATACATGTTCCTTCTTGGCTTATCATTGCCATGCTCATGTTCTCCCATCTCACTCAGCTAATAGTTTGTCGTCTTCATCGAGTTAAAAAAGTTTTTGTACGGCAAAACATTTGGCACAAGTTTGCCATTTTCAATGTGTCCATCCTTGGCCATCATTCTCCTTTTCTGGTTGATTCGCAACATTTTGGAGTTCTGATGTCGAGCTCGCACTGCGTACAGCGTAGCCCCATACTTATCAAAAATGGTATTTTAAGGTTTTCTCTTCGAGGAAAATTTTTGCACTGGGAATAATTTAACATCTACTCGTATGAACAACACTACACATACCTGAGGAATAAAAAGTTTTCAAACAGTTTGCCCACTTTTAGCCACATTATATGTATAAATTCCAAATGGTTTCCAAATTCCTGAGTACGGATTGTTTGTCCTCGAACAGAACAGTTGATTCAATAAAAAAATATGTCTGATGTCTTTAGCAAATCCCTGCTGATCAAATGTCTGATAGTATCCCGTGAATTTTCCCAACTTTGTCTCTTGTTTTTTATTTACACCAGATTGTGTTGTTTAAAATAAAATGTTTGATCTTCTTTTCCATTCATTCTTACGTCGGTTGTCACGTGTTTGTTTTCTCATGACCACGGGACTCTGAGAAGGGCTGTTAGCTCGCCCCGAGCCTTTCTGGCCAGCTGCTTCTCGCTTGACAGATTCGATAGGAAATACCTTCTCAGGTTTCACAAAAGATCCATAACGAGGCTTACAAGCGAAGTAACGCTGACCACTCACAGAACCGTCATTTTTTCCTAGTTAACGAAAAAGAAAAACCAAAACGAAACTTAGCGCATGAAAAATCAACATCGTACCGTACGAGGAGCACATCCGCAAGGTTATAAGTACTTGCAAGACTGAAGAGAATAATTGGCCGAGCTTACCCCAGCTTTTAATATAAAGTTCATACTATCAAACTAATGTTATAACAGGAGGGAAAATGACAGGGTATAGATAAGAATTTGTGGTAAAAACATGTAGCCGGCCCGGCAAGGAAAAAAGAGTCACCAGGTTTTGCGACTGATTGGTTGACAGAGACCCGCAATTTTTCTGATATGAAGCAAAACCAAAGCAACCGAGGTTTATTTTGGACAGTTAAAAGTTTGAAACTAACTCTGAAAAATTACTGACCCGAGGGCGTGTCCAATTCAACACCAATCCAAACGCCAGAGGCGAATTCTGTCGGTCCAATATATCTTATCCTTCCGGTTTTCTTGTCTCCGACGCAAATAACCTGCCCCTTTTTCAAATCCCCCAGGGAATCCAGCGAATCGTGCACATCCTCCCCCTCGAAAGAACTCAGTAGATCCTCTCGACTGCTAGAGTTTGAGTTTTCGTGTGGACTAGAATTCTGCTGTTCACTATCTCCTTGTAGTTTCAATGTTTCCTTCGCCTCCTGAGTTTGTATGAGAAGCGTTGAGAGTTCATCTTCGTCTTCTTCGTCGTCCAGTGCGTCATCTAAACCGCGTAAGGTAATTCCCATACTTGGCTTCGCATTGCTCTTCTCGGAAGCAAGATCTATCAAGTTATTGCCCAAACTAATCGATTTGAAATCGTTTGACTCTACAGGTGGATTTGTTAAATCTTCACCCGAAGCAGTCGGCGTCGGCATCGGCATCGAGGGATCTTCACACGTTAGTGTATCAGCGCTACCGGAACGTTCCCGAAGTTCATCCGAAAGGGGGCTGACTGTTCCTTCAGATGACCCTTGGGTTCCAGTCTCCTGAAAGTCAAACAAAGCCTCGGGATTTTTCCTAACTTGAGGACTCGGCGCTGGAGAAGATTCATCCTCTTCCAGAGGCTCAAGTTCCATGATCAGGGAGCTGGGGCGTGAGTTAGATGATCCGCCACTCGAGTTCCGCAATACGACGCCTGACGAGGTGGGGGAAGAGCTGCTGAATTTTTCATTCATTTGTGAAAGGTCGAGTAAAATATCCTCCTTCGTTGGTCTTATTGGCCGAGGATCTGTGAAACTCCCCGGTAGAAGAAGGTCGCTTCTTTTGTTAGTCTGTCAACAAGAACGTTTTCACTTACTCTAATCTTCTCCTTAACACAAGGTCAATTCTGATGTAGCAGTGTATTGACAACGTCAAAAATACAAACTAGACAAAGATTACTATGAAATAAGTGTATCTCACCCTTGTATTCCAAAGTTTGTGACTCTCTGGGGAATCAAATCGATCATCTTTTCCACTGAACCCAAACGAAAGGTCTCCTGACTGTAAAAGCAGAGAAAACAAAAAAGGAAGATATCATGAGCCTTCAGACTTGTCGAAGCTGTGACAAGTATTTGTTACTTGTAAGTAGTCATTGTGTGATAAGCAAACCCAACTGAAGTTAAATAAAGACTAAAGAAGCAGTACATCTTACCGTAGCGGCTAAGTTTGGAGTACTAGCAAATTTCCTCAAGGGTTTCCCAATGGCTGCCAATTTCTCCTTCACCATAACTTCCTACCAAAGTGACAAGCACATTTCGCTCAATAATTCGTCCAATTTAGTCATTTGGAGCAACAAAGCACACAAACAAACTTCTCTATTTTTGTGCATGAAACTGAAGAAAACCTSTRKWG